TCTAAAGCAAAACATTAGCAAATGAGATACAGTAATGTAGTTTTTAAAAAATCAATGCATTACACTGACCCACATATCAATCCTTCTAGAATGAAGGAGAAAAAGTGTTTGGAGGGAAATTCATAGTCTTAAGTTTATATTGGAAGAGAAACTGAATTGCGAGTTTGTTTCTAGTGTGATAAGAAGAGAACAGAATAAACCCAAAGACAAGTAGGAATAATAAAGATAAAAGTTAATGAAATATGAATTAAACATTCATTAGAGAGAATTAAGAAATATAAAATTTTTTGAAAATTCTAATAGGCAAACTTTTGGAAGGGTCAATTGAAAGAAAAAGTACAAATAAATTATTATCATTAATAAAGTACACATAAGTGGGTCAGTAGAACTTTAAAGGGTACTAAGATGACAACTTTATGTTAACAGTTTTGAAACAAATTGTATAAATTTCTAGAAAAAACAAAACTGTTTAAGAAGAAACAGAAAATATGAGTAGTTATGACTACTCATTAAATAATTTCAGTCAGTACTTAAAATTCCATCCCTGCCCAAAAGTAATTCATTAATTAAAACAGAAAAGATATCCCTACCATGGCTATACAGATGACTATACATATAAGTTGTGTGAAGCATTGGACAATTCTAGCCTTACACAAATTCAGAGAATAGAATGAGGCAATATTTCCCTCACTGATTTATGTAGCTGGTGTAACTTTGGTGCTGGAATCAGATAAGGTACAGTGTAGAAATTCTATGTATGTATGTGTACATCATGACTGTAGATGTTTAGCTGAGGTGTTAAAAGCTTATTGATTTCAGCTCAGCACATTTAGGAAAAGGATCCTCTTATCTGAGAAGATGCAGATAAAGCATTAAAAAATTCAGCAAACCTTTTTGATAGAAATTCTTAGCAAATAGGAAGAGAAATAAGTTTTCTTAACCTGTCAAAATATCAAACTTTTTGTGAAATTCCAGAATTATATTTTTAAAATGTGCCTCAAGGCAACAAAAACCACCTTCATGCTTTACTTTAGCATTGTACTATGTGTCCAAGGCAGTAGGGTAAAGGCAGAGAAATGAAAGGGCATAGTTTGAAGGGGAAAAAAACCCTTTAGTCTTATTTGTAGATGATATCTTATTTAATAGCCCCAATTAATCTACATGTAAGTTAATAGAATTTATAAAAGTTAAATAAGCAAGGTTCCTATAGTTAAGATCAAAATGTAGAGATTCATTACATTATTATTCATCAACAATTTAGGAAATAAAATTTAATAAACTATATTGTGTGTAATAAAAATAAGGCACCTTTAAATAAGTCTATAAAAATTGATTGAGACTTGGAAAAAAATGTAAAGCTTTATTGAAAGACGTTGAAGAAAGTGAAATAAAGACCACATTAATGAGGGGAAAGATCATTATCATAAAGCTGTCTTTTTCCCCCAGATTGACCCACAATTTTACATAATACCAGTCAGGATTTCAACAGGTCTTATTGGATCTTCACATGCGTGTGGAGGATAGCAAAGGGCCTTAGGAAAACATGAATTGATTTATCCTGTCAACTAGCAAGATTTTTTTTAAAAGCTTATCACAACATTGTGATGTTTATATAGGTATGGGCATGTGGACTATCAGAACAGACTAGATAGCTGAGAAACTGACCGTGTGTGTGTGTGATGACTACTCATTAAATAATTTAAGTCAGTCCTTAAACTCTATCCCCCTTCCACTGAAAAGTAACTAACTGATTACATATACTGTAAGTACTTGGTAAATGATGAAGATGGCTTTGTAGATAAATAAATAAGAAAGGGGTTCAGTAAATTGATTTGGACATTGTTTAGTCATATGGAAAAAACAAACATCTCTCCTTTACCTCCTATAGAAAAGTCAATTCCATAGGTGACCTCACACACAAAAAAATATTGAGCAAACAGTAAGTTTTGGGAAAATATATAACCTATGATATAATTAAAGACATTTAAAATGTAAAAAATGCCATCTATTTCTTGGTTATACAACTACATATACTATTAAAATATTAAGAAATGTAAGAGAATGATGAACAGTGGGATTAGGATGATGATACCACGTGTTGGGCGAAGGTAGAGGACACGGGGATGTTATCAAAGAAGATTTTTAGTTTTTAAGCTGAATGGATATGAATGTTCATTTAAAAGTCTTTTTGTGACCTATATATTTTATAATAAATTATAAACAAGGCACTAAATTCAGTAGTATTTCATGTTGCCTAGGTGACTGCCTTGATTTTTAGCTCATTGACTTCCTTAGGAAAGTAAAATGTCCTCACTCATAGGCCAGCTGCCAGGCAGGAAGGCACAGGTATCCAAACCAGTAGTGTGATCTTGAACAAATTAATTAATCCCCATTTCTCTGTTTCCTCCTTTGTAAAATAGCAATAATTACTTATATGTTGTTGTGAGGATTTTGAGTTCACACATATACACTCTTAGTGTAATACACCTGCCCCTCGATTTACACAGAAATTTTTAACGGGAGTTTTTTTATACGTGGTAAATATTCCCCCGTTTACATGGACTTTTAATACACGGTTTCCATTTACACTGTCTCATTTTATGCAGTTCTTTCTTTTTCATTTCCATTATTGGCGATTACTCTTTCTTAAAAACAATAGCTTAACCCAGCAACATACGAAGAACTGATACTAACACAATTTATTAATCTTTCTGTTCATTTGATGGCAAGTAAAAGAACACAGGTGACTACTGATGTTTGTCGAGATTGGTTTTACAAATGTCTTGCTGTAAAAGCTGAAAATTATATGAAGGAAAAATGTCTTCCATTTAAAATACTTTTACTTTTAGATAATACACCTAGTCATCCATACAGTTTTAGAACATCCAAATATAAAAATTGTATATTTGCCACCAAATACAACTTCCTTGATCCAACCTTTAGATCAGGCATTATTTCCACCTTTAAGATTAATTACATTAAACAGAATTTTAATGATTTTTTAAAATAAACTTGAAGATAATGAATCACAGTTACAGAAGCCTGGAATAAATATACAATTTTAAGTTGTATCAAGAATATTGCTTTAGCTTTGAGTGATATAAAGCCGTCAACTTTAAATGCTTGCTGGAAAGCAGTATGGCCAGAAGTGGTTGTACCAGGGAATATGATTCCAACAACTGAAGAGAAATTAACTTGTTAATTTATTAAATAATTTATTATTAATTTATTAAATAAATTTCAAGAAGAAGGCTCTTACAATTTGAATGTAGATGATGGTAACAAATTACTGGTCAATCATAAATTAACTGATAATGAATTAATTCACTATATCTGAAGCCCATTCTTCTGATGAATATGGCAAGTGACCTTGAACCAGTTTCTTTCATTGCAGAAAATATTTAGGAAGCTCTTCAATTGGTCACAAAACTGGAAACTACAATTCTAAATATTGTTCCAAACATCCAAAGAGCCTTAAAATTTCAAAAAGATTTAAAAAGTTTTTGCAGTGAATATCGAAGAATTTATGAAAACTTAGCAAAAGATGGGATTGGAAAAAGATCATCCAAAAACATAAGCATAAAATAATGAAACCAAATTAGTACTTCCAAATATTTGAGCAATGAAGATAGTGACTCTGTGCCAATTAAAAAGAGAAGGTTGATTAGATTACAGTATGGACACAGCGAATAAAATTTATTTTGGTTTTTCTGAATTTTCATTAGCATTTTTTGTGAAAATATGTGAAATAAATATTTTTATAACTTATACTGGACTTTTGTTTTTTTTTTTGTACTGGTAGACTCTACGCGGTTTTCTTCTGTGTAAAAAAAAAAAGATGCGTGGAATGGATGAATAATCCACGTAAATCGAGCGATGGGTATATATATGGTATAGCTCTTAATTTTAGTGTAGATCTTATAATTTGTGTGTTTTTCCTTAAACTGCTATTAAAAGTCATTGATTCTTTCTAGTTTTAATTTTTTTAATGTAGTTCTTTATTGCTCCTTACCTCTCATTCTTGAACCTTTTTCAAGTTTAAGATTTGCTTTTCTGTATTACTTTTCTGCAGGCTTTCTCAGATGATGAGGTAGAAGTGATTTTGAACAATATCAGATGCCAGTGGGGGGTTCAGATTGGTTTGTATTTTCCCTAGATTGCTATTTTGATTGAATTATGGCAGGGGAGGCATTTTGGTACCCCTTTGAAACCACAGAAACCCCGAATTTAAAAGTTTAATCCCTAATCATACTAGCGTGATCATCAATGATTTTGGATTTCTGAATTTATTTTTATTTTTATGGTTTCATGGTTAATCATTGGAGTTAACAAATTCCTTAGAGTGGCAGATTCTTTTCATAAATATCTACAGCATTGCATTTTTTTTTTTTGGCATTGTTTTTAGGTCATCATTTCTCTAGGTACTCCTAATATTGATTCTTTTTATCAGCCTAGAAATTTATTGGCATATATGGCTTTAAAATAGAAGTTTAACATTACCAATCAAAGCACATTTACTCTCCAAGGTGCTGAACCTTTTGTTGATTGATGAGTATTTTGCATTTACTCTTTTTTTTCTAAAGTTATTTTTCTTAAGATGACAGCTAATATTTTCATTTCTGTTTCTGGAAAGTTGACAGCTTTGTAAACAATAAAGAATAGAGAATTTAATCTGAAAAAAAATGTGGGGAAAACAAATCTTCAAATGGTTATCACTTCCTCATCTGAAAATATATGCTAAAATGATTGAAACATAAGCATCTGATAAGTTCATGAATTGTTCTCAGGAGTTCCTAAGGTACCTGTTGAATTCTTGTATGCAGATTGTGTGCACAGATTAGGTGCACGTGCACCTGGGGAAACGCGTTAGGATCACGTGGGGAAGACTTGCTCTCCCTGTAGGTGGCCAGTCAGTGTCCATTGCTCATGTGTAAGTTCTTTTGTGTAGGTCGCACTTAACTGAAAACCCATGGAAACACTGTTTTTGCTGTATCCTCCAGGTCGGATTCGCACAAGACGGCAAAACTCTGGGAGTGCCACCAATGTCGCCTCTTTACCTTCTGATAGTCGAGGCCGCAGTCGCGCTAAAGTGGTTTCACAGTCCCAGCGTAAGAAGTATATTTTATGCTCTCTGTTTTAGTTTTACAGTTGAAAATTTTACAGTATTTTTATTGACTTCAGGGAAAAACACATTTCTGTGACTCTAAGATATTGTAAGTAATGTTGATGTTTGTTGGGTAAGCTCACAAAATGGGAGTATTAAAGTGTACTTTTGTCTCCCGTCCAGGTGACTTAAATTTCTTCTCATTAAGCATTAAACATTAAAATGTACTTCTCTCTCTCTCCTCAAGCCTCTCCAGTTGAAACATACCTGGACTATGACCCATTTTTCTATTGATAAACAATGTTTTCGATGTAATTTAAGAGCAGTATCTGGGGAGATGACTGTTAATGCTGAATTCTCTTTCCAGGGGTTATAAGTAAATCCATTAAAAGCTCTCCCCTCTAACCCTCTGTTCTAACATCGCAGCCTGCTCCTTTTTTCTTGCCAGTGTGGGCTCTTGGCTTTGCACAGCTGCCCTTGCCTCCATTATTGCTTCTCTGTATATGTTGAGTCATTTGGTTTGTTAGCCTGAGCAACGAAAGCAGCCACAGATGGAACGAATGTATTTTTACCATTCTTAGGATTCATCTCTGGTGTCTCAGTTCCCAGCCCCACGTGACTTTGAGTCCCCTGCTCCCTCTCAGTGCATGTAGACTGGAGCTAGGTGTGAGAGTTCTCCTGGGCACAGTGAGCATGGTGGAGAAGTTCCCTGGTCCCAGGAGCAAAACGCGCCCCCTCACCGCGGCACTCTTTGGCTGATGTGTGTCCGCCCTGTTGTGTAGAGTACTTAGTCTGTGGCCAAACCTTAGGTTGTCTCTTAGTATTTAGAATGCCTTTCTCAGCTCCTTCTGAATTTAGATACCTTTCCATGTCCCTTTGATAACTGTAGTCCTTAGGTTAAACTAGTTTCTATCCTTTCTGTAAGGAAAGTGCAAGGTCAGTCGTATTGCTGCCTTCAGTGAGGCTACAGAACCCAGGCTTGTCTGACAGAGAAGCCCATGCTTCTGCACAACACTACACAGGTTGTGCAGGTGTGGCCCAGAAGCTTCTAGAACCTGGGGAACAATATCCTGGCTCTGGTTATTCTGTTGACTCTTAGTGATGCCTGGAGTCACAAACGGATATAGTATTCTAGCCTTGGTCCCTCTTCTTTCAACTTCAGTATGTTGAGATTGGGTCGAATAAAAAATGCCTAACTGTTTAGCTGTTCAGTGTTATTGCCTTTCTTAGAAAGTGAGGGTTGAACAGTGTTTTACATTTCTTCATTTATGTCTGGTGTGTGTTGGTATTGGCTTCTACGTGGTCCTTGCCCCCAGCTAGGTCCTCTGCTTAGGAGGTGGTGAAGTTTAACGGCCCTTCCAGAGTGGGATGCAGTGATGATAGAGCTTTAATTCTTCAGTCTTATGAAGGAAGATACTGCTCCCCACCTTAGGGCTGCACTTTAAAAACTCTTAAGTTTTACTTTACTCGCCAAATTCCATTCACAGGAAGGGAGACAACATCAACAAATAATCAAGCCTGGATCACAAATTTATGCATATAAGTTCAAAATTATTTTAGTAAGAGGTAACTATGAGCATATTTACATATTTTATAAATGTAGATATACTAGCATTCAGTCATGGTTTAATAGTAGATTTTATTAATATTAGATTTAGGGCCCTTAACAGTTGGCATATTTTAAATATTTGAAGATTTAAACATTTGAGGATTTAAGGATTTGAGGATTAATATTTAAATATTTGAGGATTTGGCATAGGGCATTTAGGTGAAATTAGTTAATAGCAGCTCCTTTCAATTCATTAATGTTTATTGAGCACTTTCTATGGTGGTGAGTCCTTTTAAAGGTGGTAGTGATACACAAATTAGTAAGATACAATCATCACTTCTCAGGTTGCTAGGAGCTAGAGAGTAAATGTGCTCCTGGAGGGTAAGGCCTTTGTCTTACTCTACTCTGCACCTCCTGTGCCATGCCTGGCACATTAATGTTTTTAAGTGTTTCATGAACGGATTAGAAACAAATGCTAATATAGTGTGATATGTATAAATTAAACATAAGTACAAAAGTTGACTAGGAGGATCAAGACCTAGAAAAAAAATAGGTATTTTGTTAATGTGTTTGTGAAGAAAGACATTTGTGTTGTGTTTGCATGCTGACCTTCTGTATTGTGTTATTGTCTTTTAATCCACTTTTTGCCCGTTCTTTGGTCTGCTCTCATAATCAAGGATCCAGATCTGCTAATCCTGCTGGTGGTAAGCCATTTCCCTTCTTGCTTTATTTATTTATTTTTTTGGCATTCTCCCTTACCCCATATTCCTTGCACAATATTAATTTTTCTCTTTATTATAAGCTTAGTTAATCTTTCTGCTTTTTTTCCTATATGTTCACATTTTAGGGTTTGAAATGGATTTCTTTTCTTGTTTTATACAGCTTAATACTTAATAGTTTATTTGTGTGCTCAAATGTTATGGGCGAAATTAATAAACCATGAGGTGGGTTCTTCATGGTAATTTGTATTGGTGTTTTTTACAATGAATTTTACTTTAAGTTGTAGTTAAAAATTATAGAGTACGAATTTTTGTAAGTAGTGATTTATTTGAATGATGGGTGTGTGTGTGCGTGTGTGTTTAATTTTTAGTTAAGTGTTGTTTCAAAGGTCTCTGGTAAATAATAGTGTGCACTTTACGTATTAGAATTTTATTACCTTGTCTGCTTAAGGGAATGATCTAAGTAAATGACTGCCATTCAGGTGTATTGGTATAATCCTTAAAATTTTGCTGTTTTTTCTAATTTTGTCCCTCAAGAAATGGTTTATTTAGGTATCTGGCCACTTAGCTATAAAAATATTACTCACCATATTGTTTGTTTTTAATTTTTAAAAACAAACATTTCAGGCAATGTGGCTTATATAATTTCTACTGTTGTAGATTTCCTTTGAGGCTTAGTATACATTTAGTTTTTGTAATACTTGTGTGGAAAGGTGAAAAGGATGTGCATTTTGTTTTTTGAGATGTACACGTGTGTTTGTGGGAGGTGTGTTTATACATATCTATAATCTTGACTGCTTGCTTTGTCAATAATTAATAGTCTTTTATTAATTATTGGCCTTTCTGAGATATATAATTATGACCTTTTCAATATCTTCCTATATTTTTATTATTTTTATGTTTTATAGTTTAAAGCTATGTTATTATATCTTATGAAGATATAATAAGATGGTTATTATATCTTCATGGACAATTCTTGTATTAGAATACTTTGTTCTTGATGTTGTGTTTTATTCTATTTTATTTTAGGTATATTGTTTTTCTCTTATAAACAACATACAGTTGGATTTCATTTTTTTAAAAAAAACAATCCAAGAATCTTTGTCTTTTAATAGTTTAATCTAGCCATATTTATTATGATTATCGATATGTTTGAGCTTAGTCCTCCCATCTTATTCTGTGATTTTTATTATTTTTATGTTCCTTGTTATTTCATCCCCCTTCTCTCTTCCCTTCGTTAGGTTAATGGAGTTTTTTTGGATCCATTTTTCTATCACTAATGTTTAAGAAATTTTTGTTATATTTCTGTTCTTTCAGCAGTTACAGGGAGGCTGCTTGTTTTCAGCCTGCACTTTTGAATCAGAAATTTTGCAGTCATTTTTGTAGTGTTCCACCAGTAATTCTCTACATGCAGACATTCTTTTATGATAATTTGATGTTCTTTTATGCTACTGTGTTTTTAAAAAATTAATCCTATCACCAACTACAACGCTGTTTTCACATAAAATTCTCTTAGTATTTGATGTAAATTAATGTGTAAACTGGCTTCTGAAATTACTATAATTTTATTCCTTGATTATATCCATTATTCAATTTTGTTTTGCTTCATTTTTAGCTGGCAGCCGATCAAGTTCCCCAGGGAAATTGTTGGGAAGTGGTTATAGTGGCCTTGCCGGGGGTTCCTCAAGAGGCCCACCTGTGACATCATCTTCAGAAAAACGAAGCAAGATTCCCAGAAGTCAGGGATGTAGCCGAGAAACAAGTCCAAACCGAATAGGATTAGGTAAGGATTTTCAAAGACCTTGGAACACCATTCCCATCTTGGCTAATTTCAATTATAATCTAATGAATTTTTCTAATGCAGGAAATAGAGATCTATTTTTGAACTGAAGAGGTCATTTTCCCTGTTTTAAGACATTTCAATTTGTGCTTTTTATAGATCATAGTTTGTTCAGGTTTCACTTATAACTGAAAAATGGATGGCGCTTACCATTCAAATTGATGAGAAAGAATTGCATCATTATGGGATTTTTGCCTTTTAGAGTCATTTTATAAAATATTAGCATTGGGGAAATGGGCAGGATATTTTAATTTACTATTAGAAGCAATATTGTTTTTCATTTTTCTTTTACTGAATAGCACTAAATAATCATTAACCTGTATTAAATTTTCAAAAGCAGTTTGTAGGGTCCACATTTATTTTGATTCTGATCTTCTCTAACCTAATTGGTGAAACTTGTCAAAGAATATGTATAGTTACTTTTAACATGGAATTGTTTAAATATGAAAACTAGGAATAGACAAAAACCAAATATATAATACTATTTTTCTGTGTAGAATTATACAAATTGCTTTCAGCAGCTTAAAAGACCTTTTACCTCTATTAAAATCTAATTAACATGCTACTTTTTAAATATAAAACGTAGAAATCTTTTGTGATATACAATGAAAAAATCTATATCAATAGTTTCCCTTTATTTTTACCTACTTTCTAAGAGTAAAAATCTATTGATGCGAAATCAGAGTACTGTGTTCTTTAGTCTAACTGGTTTGTGTTTCTCATTTATTCGTGTATCTCTTCAACAACTTTTACTTGAATGTTTACTGTGATGTACTAGGTGCTTTGTTAGACTTTAGGATTAGAAGATAAATGAAATAGATTTAGTTTCTGGCTTCAAAGAGCTTGCAGTCGTAGAGACGAAAATGTATACATCGTGACAAATACTGGGACAGGGTGTTCTGAGACCATAGAAAAGGAATGTTTTGAGATCCTTCTGCCCCACTCCTCCCAGATTTCCTGCTTGGAGAGGCTCCCCAGAATAGATCTTGTTTTCATGAAGTGTAAGGTGGGATTAGCTAGGGGTCTAGGGCAGAGAGGAGAATGTGCAGAAGCAGTCAGATGACAGAGGGAGCATAATGCATCTGGGAACCACTAGTAATTCATTTGGCTACAGCAAAGAAAGTTTTTTCAGAGCAGAGTAGGAAATGAGGGCAGAGAGACTGGTAGGGTCCAGCTCGTGAAAGTCCTTGAAGGCTGCCTGAGCTACGAGAAAGCAGGGACATATATTTAAGAAGAAGAATGGATAGAATTTGGTTAGACTAACATTCCCAAAGCAAATGAAAAATGTAACCAGTGGTTTTGTTAATTCTGCATAATACTAACTTTACATTGGCATTAGTAGCATGGTGCTGACAAGTTATTTGGATCCAGTAATAATAATGAGGAATGTGAATACAACCAGAGAAAATATCATGACAGGAATATCTAAATTTCAAATTTGGTGCTGTAACATGTGTGTGTTTGGATCTGGTTTTGTTTGTAAAATGCATTTGATTTCCAGTCTGGGTGTGAGGTTTTAGCTTTCCTTTTCCATATAAGTTATAGGATGTGTCTTGGCAATCCAGATTAGTTTCATGCTTTTAAAAATTCTTTTCTTTCTGGAGATTTTACTTTCTGTATATTTATTAAAGATGCCATTTTTACCTTCTTGAAATTGGAAAATAAATGAATTTTAGTTATATAACAACTCTAGGACCTGGTATTCCATGGCCTTAACTATGAAGTTTATGTTGTACATAGCTGAAAAGACCACATTTAATAAGCTTTTAAAAGAGGTGCTATGAAACATCACCCAGCAGTAAGAACTAAATAAGAGCCTGTTCCTTTCCAAAGAGTTCTTATTTGAAACATTATTTTGAAGAATGTTATTTCCTTGATGCTCATTATGGGGATTAGTTATATGTCAAGCTTTGAGGTCATAAAAATAAGTCTGATTAAAGACGATATTTTATTTAAATTTCTTCATATTTTGAGAATATACACATGTATATAGATATAAAGATATATATATATGTATATATATATGAATAAAATATATCTTTCCATTTCTTCCTATGGTAATCTTAGAGATTCCATTTTATAGGGTGTCAGGTATATTAGCATTTTTTAGAAATAGATTGTATATTTCTGTAATCATTTAGTATATACTGGGTATATGTCTATGTGACTAAACATTTGGTTCATTGTATAGCAACTTTGAGTATAAATATTCAAATAAAGAGGGAGCATCTTTTAAGAATATTTTCTATAATCCCCATACCAATTAATAGTTTTAGTTATAGCTAAACTAGTCTTAGAATTCGTACTGAGAGTTAATGTAGTTATCTACAAATTATGTTTCAACTATACCTTTTTCGTTTGTTTGAAATAATATTTCTTAACTAAATTTCTCATCTGTGATAAAAATCATGCCAAAGCTACTCTTTTTTTCTTGGTGATTGATTTCTTCATAAACTTTTTAACCAAATAGAAGAATATACTCTTTGTAAGTTGTTTCAATTTTGTGTTTTATTCTATCTTTGACAAATAATAAAATCACATAAAAAGCTAGCATTTATAGCAACTATCTTTTGAAATTTGCCTTTGGTTCCCCTCTGCATCTATTGAAAAGGCTATAAAAAGCATTTGACTTTTTGCAGCTTACATTCTATGGATATGCATTTAAAATATTTTTAGATTTTTCTGGTTTAAAATAGTTTGAAAGAATTAAAAATTAATAATCAATTTTAGCAGTTAAATTAGATTACTTTGTATAAGACCAAAATATGAAACTATCCAGACTAGAGAGACATTTTATGTTTTAACTTCTGGTACTTTTCGCCATTCCTCTTGTACTTAATTAAGATCTGGTAGGGTCCTTCCTTAAAAATGTCTTTCAAGAAATGAAAACCATTCAAATGGTTTTTAAGGTTTCTCAGCATTTCGTGTAAGCACAAGACTCCAGGGCTACCTTAGAGTACTGCTTTTAGGAAGTTCAAACAACATATATGTTTTCATCATCTCTTCCTCCTCTGTTATGCCTTCTCCTCCACAACATATTATTGCATAGAATGTTCAGTTTTGGCACTCAGTAGAGTCAAGTTGATTTGATATATTGATTTTTAGTTTTGACTACCTAATTAATTAATCTTTGTAAAAATCATTTATTTATGTACTTATTTTAAATCCTTGTAGATTGGTCTTTGGAAGTGGTATTATAAGTGAGTATTTTTTCCTCTTGTGTTTTAAGTTATCCAACATTAGAACTAGCAACTATATGGGCAGTTTTTTTGAAAAAAGATTGTAAACAATTCTTTTTCTGTATGTTACTATTAGCCAAATATTAAAGGACCCAGTCAGCACAAATGGGTGAATGAACTTTGGGTGAAATGCTAGAAAGGTAAACCATGTTAAGAATTATGATTATTGTTAGTTCAGATCATATCTATTTATCCCTTTTCATACCTTTATTGTCTTCACAAAGCAATCTCAGCTCAGGAAGAGAGCAGAGATTTTCCATTGCTGTAGCGCGTATGTTAATTTAAGGAAGGGAATGGAAGCTGTGTAAAAATTATGGGCAAAAACTATAAGAAAATGCTCAATTAAGCAGGCACATATGTTAAAAATTATCAGGACTGTTTTTATTGCTTTTGGTTAATTGCTTTGGAGTAGGCAGTGAAATAGAAAAGATTTTCATGTATGCCTTTCTTCAGGAAAGTCAGGAGTACTTAACCACATGTACCTTATCTCAGTATCTTTTCTTTTAAATGATGGTGACACTTTCTTCTTAATCTTCCTAAGGGGAGGCTGAGACCGGAGAGGCTAAGAGGCTGAACCAGCAAGTTAGCATGGCACTTGGGGGTCGTCTCATAAGTTAGATATGGTATTCACCCTGCAAGGATAAGCAGTGGTATTGACCCTGCAAGGACAAGCAGTGTTGCTCTGTGGGTTCCAGGCATCTTCTTTTATATTGATGAGGTCAGTAGATGCCCTAGTCTTTTAAGGGTTTAATTCAGCACCTGCTGTTTTTGCCCTCATAGTAGGAGCTGTTTAAAATGTTATAAAAAATGCTCATTAAATAGTCACGGCTACTTTGAGTGGAAACTCAGTGCTTCTATGTCACTATGAAAAATGAAGGAGAATTTAGGAATTACTAGAGAATTCCAAATGCGGCCCTTTTTTGACTAACACTTAGGTTGCGTTCCTGTGCTTGACCTTTCCTTGTTGGCCAGTGTAGACCTACGCCTTTGGACGTCACTGATATGTGTTTAGGTTCTAATTCAACTCTACTCCTGAGAAAGACCACAGTTGGAAGCTGCTTTAGTTTTTACTTTTGTGTTTTTCTTTCTTTATTTGGGAGAGTGGGGAGTGGGTAGTCACGATTCTGGTTTGTAGGATATTCTTGTTATGGTTTGGCTGTATGATAGATCTGTCTTTGGTCTAAAATAATGGACTGTGCTCACCGATTCACTGATGTAAACATAGCCACGTTTTTACATCAGTGAATCAAGTTTATTTTTTACAAAATTTCTGGGAAAAAAAAAAATTCTGTCTAGTCCAGAAGTAATAGATTCTCTCACGATGGAAATGCCTGTTGTCCCAGTCAGCTATTATGTTGGTGGCATTCAGTGCCAAGTTGTTTCTAAGTATTTTGCCAGTACTGAATTTCTGTTTTCTCAGATTAAATTGGGACAGGGGTTGTGGGGAGGGCATCATGGTCTTTTCTGAGTTTTTATGGTCAAGTTATATTAGACCTTAGACTATTTATGTGACTGTATTCTCCATTTTTATAACGTGAGTATAATAAAATTATCCACAGATATTCATAAAGTAATTGGCTGTTCTCAGGTCAGTGGAGGGATCTTTTAACATGAAAATTGAGATTATCAGTCCATGTACTATTAGACTCACGTAAGGCTGGATAACTGAAGGTGCTTGAGTAGGGACCATGGGCAAATTTTTGG